TGATTGGCCCTGCTCTGTGCCTGATAGGGGGAGCTCCCCAACCCCCCATGGGCCCTGCTCTGTGTGTGACGGGGTGGAGCCGCAACCTCCCCATCGGCCCTGCCCTGAGTGTGACAGGGGGAGTGCCCCAACCCCCTGATCGGCCCTGCTCTGTGGGTGACAGGGGGCAGCGCCCCAACCCCCTGATCCACCCTGCTCTGTGTGTGACAGGGGGCGGTGCCCCAACTCCCCTATCAGCCCTACTCTATGCGTGACAGAGGGGAGCTCCCCAACCCCCTGATTGGCCCTGCTCTGTGCGTGACAGGAGGTGGTGTGGCAACCTCCCCATCGACCCTGCCTTGAGTGTGACAGGGGGCGGCGCCCCAACCCCCCAATCGGCCCTGCTCTGAGCCTGACCAGGGGCTGCACCTAGGGATTGGGCCTGCCCTCTGCCAACCGGGAGCGGGCCTAAGCCAGCACGTCGTTATCTCCCGAGGGGTCCCAGACTGTGAGAGGGCACAAGTGAGGCTGAGGGACACGCCCCCCCCACCACCACCAGTGCACAAATTTTTGTGCACCGGGCCTCTAGTAGATAATAAAGATTAGAAAGACTTGGGTCAAGATGTGGTTCTGCTTCTTACGAAGCAGGGACTTTAGACCCGTGCTTCACAAACGTTATGCATCAGAATCACCCAGAGAGTTTGTTCATTCATAGCCCACTGGGCCCCATCTCCAGAGTTTCTGATTCAGTAGTCCTGGGATTGGTCCTGAAAATGTGCATTTATAATGAGTTACCAAGTGACTCTGATGATGTTCCTGCCTTAGATAATTTATGTAATCTCTCAAGCTTTAGTTTGCCATATGCAAAATGAGGCTAACTGAGGTGTTTTAAGACTTAGTTGTCAGTGTTTGACATGAATTAGTATTCAGTCAATGTTAGTTAATATTGATTCTCCTTTATCATTGCTTTCATCACACTATTAAATTATAGACTAAACTGGCAAATAAAGTAGGAACCCCATGGAAAGCAGAGACTATATCCATTTTCTTATTGTTTTATCACAGGTACTTCATGAAGTGCATTAGTTAACACTAAATAAATATATAATGGAATAAATTCAAAGTAAAAGCAGTCAATAAATAAGAAATAAAATGAATTCAGGTAGCCGCTACACAGACTGTCCCAGGATTCCCTGGAACAGCTTGCTCTAGTCTTGGTTTTCCTGGGACTGTTTTTGCTGATTGGTTCCTAAATCACTTTTGGTTTGGTGAGTCAGTCCCCACAGCTTTTGCTTCAAGCAACACAGAAAAACATTTTTCTGTAGGAACTAGAAATAAGCACATGGACTACTCATTTGGTTGTGTAGTTTTGGCTTCATACTGAATGAGAGAACTGCCCCAACGTGCTTCTGTCCCTTCTGTGCCTGAACATATGCCTGCATTTAACACTGGATATGGGTTAGAAATTAACATGAACAATTTAATCTGCAGTTCTTCGAAAATTCATGACTCCTCTTTTGAGAAGACAGTTTCTACTCCCATCCTCCTCTTTGATCTTAGAAACTCATATTTTATATTCACTCATTAGTTCAACAGAATTTTTCCACCATTTATCATGTGGCAAGTATTGTGGTGGTGATGCCACATAAGTCACAGTTCTTGCTTCACAGAACCTAAAGGATGGCATATAACAGCTTGCACTGTAGTTTGCTTCCTTGTCTCCCATGCAAAATTGTGGGCCTCCTAATGGTAGATGCATTATCTGATTGATTTTTGAGTCTCCAGCTCAATGTCTGGTATATGCTAGATATTCATACACATGGATTATTATTTATACAGAGAGACCCTCCTTGTGATATTGGTGCTTAGAAATAGAACTGAACTCCAGAGGTCACAGACTGGTAGTCATGAAATGACTTGGCGCTAGATGTGTTATTTGACATACAACGTGTGTTTTAATTCCATGAGGACCAACCAGTAACATGTGGGAGATATTTACATAACTTTCCAGATTTCCAGCTTCTCTTGAAAGAGCCCACATTTCTGTATTACCCCAATCAGCTGAAGTGAATTCCCACTTTCCCTGCTCTTTCACACAGAGCGTGCCCTCTTGGCTACAGCCCCTACCATTCCCTACTGTGTTACCCAGCTGTCTATGTGTATATTGTGTCATGTGTGTTTGCATGGATTTGTGGTCAGGAGAGAAATTCTTCAAATTGTACATAAGTCTACTTAAAGTTTGTCTTTACAAGCTTATAACAACCTAACCCTGACTTATTCCTTTTTTTCTTTAGTGATGTAGAATGCTAACGAGAATTTGCTTTCATTTGAAATATCTAGCATATTGAGTCATCGATCCACATTTTGTGCAAGTTATTTTTCTGCATTTTCACAGCAGGTTTCCTGTATTTCTCAATTAATGAAATCATGGCCAGTGCCTTTTCTACTGTGAAGTGCATCTCAGTCCAGAGTAAAAATGTACCTAAATCTATCTGGCTTGTGTTATTTTTCTCCTTTATGATTTTTGACCTAACACTTGTCATCTGGCTTGGTTTTGTCGTATCAGATTAGCTCATTAAAAACATAAAATGGAGTTAAAATTATAGTTTAGCTAATCAAATATATTCATGCTTTGTTTCAGCTCTCCTTAAAAAGAAGAGGAAGCAAAGATTTACCAAAATCTGAAAAAAAGACTCAACAGACTCCCACAGAGGTATGTAGAGATAAAATTTCACCAAGCACATCAAGCACCTCTAAATGGATATATAAGCTACTTCTATAAGTAGACATAACAGCCAGACATACTCCTGTAAAACAGAGCTAAGTTATGCATATCGATTTTGTAGCTATAGATACAGGCAGTACAAAACATTCAGTATCTTCGCTTACAAAGCAAGCACTAACGTCCCTATTATTATCGCATTTACACATGGCAAAATATCACTAGTACTTTCTGTGTTCCTGTATTTGAGAACTGTACCCATGGTGCTAATCTTGTTCGCTCATAATTAATAAGGTCAGTAGAATAGTTGTCCCTACGGTATCAGGGAGAAGAAAGAAAGGAATGTGGCAGGAAGGATGGCAGAGGAGAGTGGCTTGTGCTGGCTTTAGAGTCCTCGCCTGGAGTAATTCGCTGTACCAGTGATTGGGGGAGCAAAAAAAATAAATAAAAAAGGCAACAGAAGAATAAAAGTAAAACGTAAAAGATGGATTCAACATGGGCTTGTTGAGAACCTTAGAAATACGGCACAGTAATGACTAGTTCTGCTTTCAGGGTGAGCAGAAGGTACTGAGAGATGTAAGGAAGGAGATTTTAAAACAGAAGAGGAAATATTTGGAGGCAGAATAGCTCTCCAAGAACACCTGGCCAGATACCTTTTAAGTGCCTATGTTGGGATATGGAGTACTACAGCATGCTTTTTTAAAAAATTCCTTCAAAGGGTTTTCTTAGTAGGTAGAAACTAACTAAAGCAATATTTATAAAATTTGAAAAAAAGTTGATCATATTTTAAAAAAGCATAACATATTAAATGTTTATTTTCTCCTTTCCTTTCTCTACCCATTCTGTTCATGGTTAATTTTTCTTTGGGTACTTGCACAAGAATATTTGTAGACCGGAGTCTTATACCAAAATCATTACTCTTTTTTTGTACATTTTTCTCAGTTTCCTGGATAAGTTCAATATGCTCTGTTGCTACAGCTTTCTCACTGTCTTCGGCATAACTTTAGCCACCTCGCTCTAGGTATTTTGCTGTGAGTCATCCCCCATGTCGCCATGAATCTTCTTCTTCACCTTATTTAGTGGGAAGATGCTTGTAATGTCTTATGTCGGCTTTAGTCAGCAGTTTATTTCTTTTCATTCAAGTCCTATTCTTATATTTCCCATGCTAAAGCTTATGCAGGTGTCCTTTTCGATTGTTTTCTTGATTTACATAAAAATGGTCTCCCATCCTCTTTCTCTCTTTTCCCAAAATGAGGAGGACAATGAAGATCTGAAATGCCAGCTGCAGTTCGTGAAAGAAGAAGCTGCTCTGATGAGAAAGAAAATGGCCAAGATTGATAAAGAGAAGGACCGATTTGAGCACGAGCTGCAGAAGTACCGGTCCTTTTATGGGGATCTGGACAGTCCTTTGCCCAAAGGAGAAGCGGGGGGCCCTCCCAGCACCAGGGAGGCGGAGCTCAAGCTGCGGTTGAGGCTGGTGGAGGAAGAAGCCAACATCCTGGGCAGGAAAATCGTGGAGCTGGAGGTGGAGAACAGAGGCCTCAAGGCGGAACTGGACGACCTGAGGGGCGAAGACTTCAATGGCTCGGCCAACCCGCTCATGAGGGAGCAGAGCGAATCCCTGTCGGAGCTGCGGCAGCACCTGCAGCTGGTGGAAGACGAGACCGAGCTGCTGCGGAGGAACGTGGCCGACCTGGAGGAACAGAACAAGCGCATCACGGCCGAGCTCAACAAGTACAAGTTCAAGTCCGGCGGCCACGAGAGCGCGCGGCACCAGGACAGCGCCAAGACCGAGGCGCTGCAGGAGGAGCTGAAGGCGGCGCGCCTGCAGATCAACGAGCTGAGCGGCAAGGTCATGCAGCTGCAGTACGAGAACCGCGTGCTCATGTCCAACATGCAGCGCTACGACCTGGCCTCGCACCTGGGCATCCGCGGCAGCCCCCGCGACAGCGACGC